AGCTAATCAAACCATAATTGAAAGTTTATTTTGAGCTCTGTAACTTAAAATGTTCTGATTTCTTTTTCAAACCAAACTTGTAAGGACATATTTTTTTACCATGAACTCATCAGTTTTTATTTTGCAAGACATGGTTTTCATAATGGCCATGAATTTCAAGTCCCTCTCCTGCATATGTGATGTAATGCTCTTACACGTAGTCCAGTAAAGGCTTTTACAGCTGTCACCAAAACTACACGCATATTACGACATCTATTTGGCCCAATTGCATAACTGGTTGTGATTGCACCAATTACCTGGAACAGCAATACATGACTAGAAGTTAAAAATAAGAAAAAGTGTTAGAAATGAAAAATTTTACCCTCTGTCAGCAAATCAGCAAGTTACTCTTCTAATAAGATTTGAAGATTCAGAACAAGCTTAAAGGAGTCCTGATTATTACATCAGGCTACTGATTAATTAGGACACTTACACTGGCTCCCCAGAATTACTGTATTATTCAGGTATACTCAAATTGGCACAAGTATTCATGTCTCATTTTATACACACACAGCTATATTGCTCTTCAACATATAGTGCCCATAGATGACTTCAGTATAAGTTCATTCACAGGCTACTTCCAGTCTTTATGGCTATCAACATATTTCCAAAGATCATGTGTTTATTCACATAAATGGAGGTTTAGTAAAGAGATTTTGAACTGAATAGAAGCTGGGATGTTGACTGTCCAGTGCAGTCTGTACAGATGAAACAGAGCAAGAAATTCATTTCTCCAAGGTCTTGCAAGTACAACTCATGTAGTTCACGCATTAGCCCAAAACCTAACTGGTGACATAAAAATAAGTCTTCTTTGGGTTTAGATCTAGTTGGGGAACAAAATTCAGGCAAGGGCTCAAAAACTAAATTAATTTGACTCACCTACAAGTATTCCACATGTGTATTGATGGTAACGGCCGTCAGAAACTTTAATGAACCCAAAAAATCTGATTTTTCTAAAATCATATCTTTTAGCTGTCTTTACTAGTACTACTTTTTTGTTATTCACTTCCTTAGATCTCTACAGATTTTTTTCATTCACAGACATTAATAGGATGCCAAAATCTATGGATTTCCACTGCATGAGGTGCTTGATGAGGGAGGGTGTTTGTTTATGTGGTGGCTGCACCATAGCAGCTCACAGCAGCCCTCCTGCCCCATCACCCACACTCTTGGTGCAGTTACACCAGCACTCTGGTAGGTCTGGATGCTCTGGCAAGATGATAGGAAATGGGACCTTTTTATGGGTTACATGAAAAATGCCTAATATCTACCAGGTGTATCATGAAACTGGTTTTGAGTTTTTCAGTTTCTGCCATCTAATCAGAACAGAAAAAATGATGCATCACATTAAATCCATTTCAGGACTACCCATCTGAAACCCTATAAAATCATTTATAAAGACTAAATTAGTGGTCCTTGTGAAACTTTTCTAACCACACAGGACCTCTCTGCCAAGTCTTTTGAGGCTACACGTTAGAACAAACTCCAGGTTATTCTTCTCTTCCCCAGCATGAGAAATCACCAACAGGCAAACCAAGAGCAAAGGTTCTGGGAAAGTGAAAACCCTCCAATAATTTTACTCATAAGTATAGAAGCAGGGAGTGGTTCTGGGAAAGTGAAAGCCCTCCAATAATTTTACTCATAAGTATATTACACTTAGAAAAGTTTCCTTTTTCTTCTCGTTCCTTATTTCTTTTCTTCTCTTTTTGTCTTGATGGAATTTTACTGAAGGACAAGGGATCATGCCAATATCCTACAGAAAGGTCTTTTTCTTTATTCTCTTTTCATTTTATCTGTTAAACGTCACAAAGATTTTCCAGATCAATACAGCTAACCTGTGCTAATTAAGCCATTAATGTGGGTGGTAAATGAGGCTTAGGTAAATGATAAATAAGAGCCTGTGTCCTGCTGGATCTCACACTGTGTCTCACACCTCAAAGCCATCACAAGGTTACAGCAATCTGATTACTGATTGACTCTAGAGCTCTTCATTATGCTTAATACTTTATGGCCTACTTCAAAATCATGCAGTACTGACTGAGTAGATGTCATTAAAGAATACCATCTGGCACTGTTAACATGCATAGTAGCCTCTGAGGACCTACAGGATTTTGTCTGGACAGTACTTGGCAGAGTTTTATTCACTTAAAAATTTAAGCTTCCGAAGTCCTCTCTCATGAAAGGAAAAGAAAAATAGTGGAAATGGTGCAGCTTTCCCCTGCACTCGCACTCCATGTTGAGTCTGGACCTTAGGGCTGAAGAGCCTTCCCTCAGGAAGATGTCTGTCTTTAAGTCACTGAAGTGTCACAGTCAGCCTCAAAGTTCCTCCTTACCTGATGCAACCCTTTCCAATGGCTTAAACTTCAGCACATTTTGAATGGGCTGGAGAATTTTTCTTTGCTTTCAAACTGGCCAGTTTCACAAGGAATCTATGAAACAACAGGCTCATTTGTCTCCATAGCCCATACACCTCTGATGGTGTGGATGTACCCACAGCTTTCGAATGTGGACATATCTGCCAGAGACCAGGCAGAAAGGAAGATAAATCAGTGCTGGTTATAAATCTGTGCCAAGGCCAAATGTTAGTCCACGGGGAAAAAAAGTTTAACCAATAGTGTCAGAGTTATTGTCTATTTTCCTTCAGTTGCACTTGTCACTGTCCTTCCCATGAGATTCTGCTGTTTAAATGCAGATGTCTGCATCGGACCTTGCTGTTTAAATGCTGCTATGGGACAATGAAGACAAGCACACCCTTCTGATTTTTTCTGTCATCCCAAAGTAGACATCTAAACTGGGTCAGATGACTCATGTCTTAGATTAAGCACCTGCCTAATTGTAGGCAGCCATTGTACCAAAGGGTACCTAGGGACTAGCTTAGAAACCACCTCAGGTTTCTGAAATTAGCTGAAATTAATCCCCTGCTGTTGATCTGTATACCATTGAAACAAATATTTTAAAGTTTAAGATTCTATTCACACAAATAGCTCCCCTCCACATGGTTGGTACGTGATGGCTTCATCACTCACCCTAAGATTGTCTTTTTCAGGCTGTTGTGAAATAGAGCCTTCTCTCCAGGAGGATGGAGGGCAGGAAGTGCAGGAGCATCCTTGTTCAGCCTGGAGAGAGAATCGTTTCATCTCCAGGGGAATGGGACATCCTGAGTTTTAAATCACCCCTAAAATATCGAGAGAAACTTAAGGGAAAATAATACATCTGATGCATGAAACCTAGTGAAGCAATAATTCTAGGTTTTTAACTTCACAAAAGGACAAGGTTAAGGAATTATAATATCAAACATATGCAAATAGAGAAGAAAATCCATTATCCACACTCCTCATACATTATGTGGCCTTGCCCTCAAAAGCTGTCAACTTACGCTCTCTCCTTTGCTGCTTCAGCACCATAGCTGGGCCAAAGTTGGTCCTGTCAGTTCTCCTCCTCTCAACACATCAGTACAGCTTTTTCTTTGCTTTTTCTGTAATTTTCCTTAATTACATTCTTTTTACTTGAAAAGTTTTCTTACATATTTCTTACAGCTGTCTAGATAGTATATCACCAGAAAGAAAATATCAACATAGATTTATGGGATGGGAGTCAGTTTAAGATTAAACCACAAAAAGTTAGATATCTTCTTGAGAGCTGGGCATTGCATCCTACACATAGCTTGTTAATGTAATTAATGGAACCCACAGGATGACTCAGACAGCAATGAGACTACTTCAGGGTGAGGTGTACCCTCTTCTACATCCTACCTATATTTCCAGCAGGCATCAGGTAGCACCCTTCGGTTTGGCAGGAGCCCACAAGAATAATGTAACACAGGCTCACGTGTGTGCAAGCAGATGAAATGAAGGGAATCCTGTCTGCTTTGTAAAGCACTGGTGTGCCTTATGACACTCTT